TGTCTTTTTCCCCCCTTCTGTTCACAAATAGCTTATGAGAAAATATCTACTTTATGAAATATATAATTGAGCAAAATTGTTTTGTTGAATAATTTTCATTAACAGATGTTGTGTCTTGTTTTCATATTCACTTTCTGGATTATTACTTGTGCTCATGAGCAAAGGCTTGAAAAAGTACTTATAGTATGGAAATGTTTCTGGCACATAATTCAAACTCCTAAGTCCTCTTTATAAGTGAAATAGTGAGAATTTTCATGGTACCAGGGTAACATCCCATCAGAACAAGATAGCTGGAAGAAACCAAATCGCATCCAAAGGAGAGATAAACCCCTACATTTTTTAAACAAAAATTTTTAACCCTTCATAAAAAAAAATATATAGAGAGAGCAATGCAATCCAGTGCTTAATGTACTTTATGGAACAGGCTAATTAATTTATTTCCATATAGTCCACTTTAGTATATTCATTATGTAATCTGCACCATTTGTGAGCAATATCTCTGTGAGTATTAGTCAATCACAGTCTTTCAAAGGTCTTTAGAATTACAGAGTCCATAATCTCCCAGAAAATCTATTTCAGCACTTCACTATTCTTACCATTATATTACTGCTTTCTAATATTCTAGTCCTAATTTTGAACATCATTGCAGTCTAAACACAACATTTCTTGTTCTATCTCTTAGGTCATGGAAAATAATTTATTTCTTCTCTCCTACTTGCAACCTTTTATATATTTGAAAAATTTCTGCTTTTCAGTTTTTTGTTTTTTTCCTAGGTTAAAGAATCATAATTCATTAATGTTTTTCTTTCTTTCCAGTTATATTTTCTAGAATCCCAGTTGTTCATCCTATTCCACTGAGCTCTCTTCAATTTTAAATCTTTCACAAACTGTGGTGTTCAAAATTGGAAAAAGAAACCCAGCTGAGGCTTGAACAGAGCAGAGTAGAACAGAAGAATTGTTTATAGGCTGTCTGGCTATTTCTAACTTTTATTATGGTCTATGCCTTTTTGCATCAGAGTGGCACTGTTAATTCACATTTAGATTGTCACCCAACTAAACCTTTTCCTATGAAACTGTTGCATTATCTGGTAATTCCCCACATTTCTGTTTCTGACCTTAAAATTTTGAAAATTATGAATCTTGTGAATTGCTGCAACTTATTCTCCTGGTGATTATGTTCAGAAATTCTTTCATCTTAGCAGAACTCTGTATCAGTAAGTCTCTTCTTGACAGAAACGTCCTTCTATAAAAACTGAAAGACCCTGAAGAGATCTTAAACTCTACAGAGGGAGATTAAATAAGATTTAAGTAATAGATGGTCCACTACAAAGGAAAAATTTACTTGCCATAGCTGATGTCAAGTAGTTAGAAGTCATTGAATCTTTCTCCAGGTAAAATCTATTTTTGGAAATGGAATGAAAAATGAGTTTTGAACATAAGAGTGGACTATGGAAATTATTAGTAATGTCTGTTCAGCTGTGTTTTTATTCCTAGACAATTCTGATTTCCTGAATTACACCATCTGGGGGGACTAAGATCTAGCTGAAGTTGTTTGGGTTTTTGGTGGTTTTTTTATTTGTTTGTCTTTGTGGTTTTTTTTTTGTTTGTTTGTTTTCTGTTCTAGACTCACAGAAGTGGTAGCTGGAAGGGGTATGTGGTGGTCCATATAAGGCACCTCCTGTTCTAAGTGAGGCTAATGCCTGGACTGGTGTCAGATGTGGCTTTTTCTAACCTTGTCTTAGAAAGGATGATGATTTCACCACTTTATAGACTGCTTCAGTGCTCTGCTATCTCTACAGCCACTTGCTATAGCTGCTTCTTATTAAATTGTCTATCATTCAAAATATTTGGTCAGATCATGTTTCCAGTGGCACTTCTTCAGGAGGTAGGCTGCTTTTGGGCTGTGGCTTAGCATCTTTTTTTTTCCAGACTAACACTTACATGTTTCTCCATTTAGTATGCCATATACTTAGGCTCCTGAATAGTTTTTTTTGCTTTCAGACAGACTCTCTAGTTTCCTGACACTCCTTTTGAGCTGTGGAGCCAAAAACTGGACATGTCACTCCAGGCACAGCCTTGTCAATGCCGTGTTGAGTGACACGTTAAGTACTGGCCTCACTTGTAGTGTAGCCCAATATGTGCTTTGCCTTATTCATGTTGGTGATGCAATTCTACTCATATTCAGCTTGATAATTACTGTAGCCCCCGTGTTCTTTTGGTCAGGTGCCACTCAGCCAGCTCTGCTTCATGAGGTCATTCTACCCCACATGCAGAATATAAACCTTCTCCCTCCTGAGTTTCACAAACCTTCTGTCGACCCAGTCTTCACTTTTCTCAAGTCCCTAGAGCTGAATCACATCATGTGTCAGTTTTTCAGCAAATTTTCTGAGGGAACATTCTGCTTCATCATCCAGGAGGAAATATTGGACTGCTTTCCAGTCCTACAGTATTTGTTTCATTACCAACTGTTACACCTCAAGGCATTGAATATTGCCTTGGAATACAGTGCTGCAGCCACTTTTCAGCCCAGTTAAAAGACTGTTTATCCCACCACAGTTTCTTAGCCACAAGAATGTGGAGAAAGCATTGTCAAAAGCCTTAGTGGAGTAAAAGTTACAGGAACTGTTACCATTTACCTTCCCAGTCCATCATTTTGTCATAGAAGGCAACCATGTTGGCCAGGTAGGATTTGCCCTTGTAAATTTGTGCTGGTCTTGGTTGCCTCTTGTCTTTTGCACACTCATAAAAGAATGATATGCATCCTCCATCCAACCAAGGATTGCACTTGGTGTGTCCAGCTGATGGTTCCCAATATTGTCCTTCTTACCTTTTTTAAAGGCATGATCTGTTATTGCTGTGGTTTTTTAATAGTTAGGAAACGGCTTTATAATTACAATGGCTGTTCTTCCACTGTTTAGGGCTGTTTTCAGTCTCTGCAGATTGAATAATCTCGTTCTACTAAATAATCCTTCTGTCTGGGAGCAGAGGACTGGGAGCAGGCTTTTCTGGTAAGACTGAGAAAAACCCAGAGTATTTCAGTTTTACTTGTCATTCATTACAAGGTTATCATCCCTGTCCATCCCCATCCATTTATTTGCTTGCCGAATTAATTTTTCTCCATTACTTTTATGAAAATTGATACCATAGGTTCATCAAGAGATTGAATGCTGCACTACTTCTTACATTAGTAATCATACAGCTTCTCCTTACCCATAGTGGTCATGTTATCACCAAGAACTGACCCTGTTGTTGTGTTGCTCTGTGGGAGAGAACTATTGTCAGAGAGCTTTATGATACTCAGTACCTCAGAAATAAAGAAATGAGTTGGTATTTCATATTGGTTTACTATGTTTAGTGGATACTTTTTACAGGGATGTCTTTGAGATTCTTTTTGCCAGTAGAATATTCATTGACCACAGAGGAGGTTCTGATTCTTTGCCTTCTTTGGTGCTGGTTAACATCACCTTAGTGCAGCCTTTTCCTCTGAACCATGAGCAAACCACAGCAAATGTGCCAAGTTGTGATGTGCAGGAACCACAAGGGTTAAATTGTGTTCATTCATTCATTTGGGATGACTCCTATTAAAGGAGTCTCTCTGAGGCCCAGAACGTGTAGTTCTATGCACAGCACTGAGAATGGTGTTCAGACAAACAAATTCTAGCAACCTTTTGTCCAGAGTATGCAGAAATGGGGTTATAGTTTCCTATTCATGTTTAGAACTTGTCAAATATCATTTTAATTTTTAAAAGATGGTAAAAAATCACCCTGAGTGCAATTGTGATGTCTGGGCTTCAAAGCATGGTTTGTCTTTATAAAATCAGGTATTTAACACTTTTTAATGTCAATTTTCCCCTAATTCAATTCTCCCAAATGGTTGAGTTGTTTGATTGAATATTGCCCACCAAAGAAACAGCCTCAGGCTGGCATCTGTCATAGAAAATTTGATCCCAATTCATTAATATTTTGCAAAATTATAAGCTATGAAAACAGGAATTTGTAATTTGAAGTGTCAGGGAGCCTCAATAGTACATTATGTTACTACCTTCCTGCACAAGTTACTGGTATGTGATTGGGCATTTATTAAAGATCTTGAACTATTATTTTTCATAAATGTATGTAATAATTTGGCTCAAAGATGCTCTGAATTTGTGTTGTTCTTTGTTACACACCTGGGAACAAAAGATTTGTAATAAAAGTGAAATGGCAGTCAGAATTCAGAATGCCCATGCTTTTGTGTTTTGATGTCTCAGCTTTCACGCTATTTTTATGTTGTTTCTTTCATCTTTAATTTTATCAAGAGATTCATATTAGATGCATTATTAATCCCTGTAACACTGCCTTCCCTTCTTCTGCACAGTGTGAGATATTTCTGGCTCCAACAGAAATAATAATGTGTGAGATTATTTTCTACATTTAATATGCGAAAAAAATAAACAATGTAGATTTTCTAAAATCTCCATGCACTGTAATTTTCTTCCAAAGATTTCACTGATGCATTAGGACTGAGAAGCATAAGCAATCACCTAAAGCTTTTAAGCAATGATTTTGGTTGTGTACTTTATAACCTGAGAATTCTCAGCATGCAGCACATTATAACACATACTGCACTGGAAAATAAACAGAAAAGTGAAGTATGGTAACTGGACTTTCTGTAAGGGTTTGACATAGATTAAATGAAACACAATTCCAATATGCTGACCAACTGCAATAGAAGCAATTAAATCTCTCACTGATGATGTTAATGGGACCAATTATAGAATGTGTTTTAAAACATGACTGGTACAGTTATGATGGCTGCAACAGAAAGGGAGAGGCAGGGGAAGGAGAGTAAGGGATTATGAATATCTAATGGAAAAACTGATAATTTTGGAACTGGGTTTTTTTGGCTATGGGGTAAAGGGAAGGCTGATTGCAAATACTCTTCCACTTTGTTATTAAAAGGTGCATCATATTCTTTTGATTGTTTTATTTATTCTGTAAAGGATATCACAGCTGCACAAACTGGTCAAAGAAAAAGAAGCAGCATGCGTGGTGAAAGTCATAGTATATCTATGTAACTACAGCAAAAAGGAAACTCATAGACCTTCTACAGTGTTGATCAACAGCAAAATCAACTGATGGTCATCGAAATCCCATTCCAGCCAGGAAGCAAGAAGAGTAATCCCCTTAAACAGAAAATTATTACTGAAGGAGTACTGTGGACCCAACCCAAAATGTAATACACTAGCAAAGGAGAATACATTTCAGTGTGAGGTAATGTAGCACCTTTTTCTTCTATTTGAAACAACAAGAATTGCATGAGTTAATATTTTCTGAAATTTAAGCGATTTGAAATCTCTCATTTATAACAGTGCTGCAGGTCTTCTTCCACCAGCCTTTCCCAGACAGAGATGTGGTATTGCTCCTGTGATGTTGCTCCCAGATGCAGAGATAAAGGCAATTCAGCAGCTGCTCCTCCGTGAGTCAGCTGAAGGTACTGGGAGGTATGGTGGAGTCCCAGTGAACATCCCCCTTTCACACAACCCAGTTTGGATCTGGAAAAGAATTGGCACATCCTCAAAGACTCTGGCTACACCAAAAATAACAGCCCCTCTACAGTTCTGTATCAATTTTTCTGGTTCTCAACTTTCAGTTCAGGTCTCTCTGCTCTTGGTGCTCATAGCTAGAAATGAGAAGGGCCCATGTTAGCAATATAGTCCTGCTCTTAGAGTACTGCATGCCCTAAGGTCTGCCCTCCAAAGAAGACTGGTGCTTCAAAGCACAGCACAGAACTCTAAAGTGTGCTCCATGTTCCAAAAATATAATTAAAACCAACTTAAGTTGTACTCTTAGTGAACATGTACTAAGCCAGAAAAATTGCCTTTTTCTTTAACAATGCTAAGGTATACAGAAATTAAAGCGTCCACTATATTTCATTTGTTGTATACATGTAATACATTGCCAGAGATATGTGACTTTGTATTTCTAGAAAAAGTGCCAACATGATTTAAAAGTGGTAATTCTTCCACAGTTTGGTTAGAAACAGGCTAATAGGGGTTTAAACTGGGGAGAATGAGTGTTAATTCTTTTCAAATAACATTGTTTAAGCAGCACAGTTAGTTTCAAATAACGCATAGGTAATCATTGAAGTCTGTAAACAATTTTTTTTTCAGTTACCAGTTATCAGAACTTCAGTTTAAATTAAAAAAAACCCAAAAAACAGAGGAATTATGACAATTTATAATAAGGCAGTTGTACTGAGACTGGCTAAGACTGAGTTAATTTTCTTCATAGATGCTTATATGGCACTGTTTTAGATTTGTTACCAAAACAAAACTGACAATGCACTAATTTCCCAGCAGTGTTTTCACAGCATCAGGGCTCTCTTTGTTTCTCAATGTGCCCTTCTTCAGAGAATAGACTAGGGGATGCACAACAGGATAGAAGGGGAGATAACCTCAACCATCCAAAGAGATACTTCTTGCTGTATAACATCATGCTCAGCAATAAAAGGGAAGAGAGGGGGTTTTAGGGAGGTTAGCAATCTTTTGATTGGGAAATGGCTGAGCATTGTTCAACCTGTGGGAGGTGGAGAATGATTGCCTTTGCAACAGTTGGGATTTTTTGAGTTTTTGTCTCTTCTTCCACATATCCTTCAGTTATTAACCTTATTTTTATTATTTTTATCTTTGTAGCTTACCCAATTTCGATTGTCTTTATTCTTTCTTTTCCTTATTCCTCATCCAACTGAGAGCTGGGGAAGTGGGCAATCAGCTGTGTGATGCATAGCAAACCACCAGGATTAACCCAGAACAGGAAGCACAGAAAGCCTGTGGCAGACCTTTCTTGTTATTAACTTGTTTCATAGACCAGTACTAAATGAGTATAAAATGCCCATGTTCTGCTTTATTTATCCATTACAAGGCAACAGAGATCAGTGCTATTGGTTTCAGTAAAGCTGCTTCTGATTCAAGCTGTTCTACTGAGATGAGATTATTGTGTATTAAGGCTTCAGTTAGGTTTACTTTCATCATACTCCTCTGTGAAAAATATTTCACAACAGAAAACAAATGTAATTGGGTATAATTCATGATTCATGGAACAACACCTGCTGTTCCAAGTTGGGACTGAAAAACACTGGGAGATGTGTTAGCACAATGTGAGACAAATGCTGAAAAGGTGTAAGTGGCTGTAGCACTACTGTTTTCCATGTGGTACATGCATTTCAGCCTTGTTTATTGGGATTTAGACTGGGATTTAGCAGAGTTATTATAAATTTTTTAATAAGAAATATAAATGTGGGGCAGCTGGAGTGCATTCTGCTCTTCTTGTTTTTGTTGTTGTGGCTGATATTTCTCATACAATAAACAAGCTGCATTAGAAATATCCTCTTCTAAAAATTTTAATAGTATTTAATCCATAAATACCTTTCTAAATACCTCTCTTTTACTAGTCATAATGAAATACATTCACTGAAAGAGTCATAAAACAGATGAGGCAGTGAAAATGTTTAGTGAACGTTAGAACTAATAATCATAATGACACTAAAGCAGTTAGAGCGCAGCACACAAAGACACAGCAAGATGCTACTGTAAGCTCCATGCTTTACACAGAAGCAGTGGTAATAGAAGGTTGTATAAGTGGAATTACAGGCTGCAGTGGAATTGGTGTCTACCTCTGAGATTGGTTTGTATTAGTAGAGCCAAAAACGACGTAAATGTTCATTTGATGTTCAGAATACTTCCTCTTTTTCTGCATTCATTTTCTTTCCTGACCCTTTACAATGCTTAGACTGAAGATTTTTGATTTATCATAATTTTCCTCTTTGGTCTTTAGCTTCATTTTGAGAAACAAAGAAGGTTCATAATTTCTATCACATTTGGAGGTGCAATACTCAGTAGACCAGCAGTGTTATGCCATATCAGGTCTTAGTACCTCACCCAGAGCTGCAGAGTTGTGATGCTGACTCACCTGCCTGTGAGGTGTTTGGTGCTTGTACAGAGAGGCACAGGAAATAAAAATAAACTTAAGTTTCTGAGTCTGTGGGAACTGAAAATTCAAAAAAGTCTAAATGGAATAAACTCTTGGCATGAAATAAACAAAACTATCATTTAAAGCTGTATACATTTAATTCATAGTTAATTCATTTTGGATGACTGTGTGTTTGGATGACTGTGTGTATATCACAAACATTTTTGTGCACGTGTCTTAGGAGCCCAGTGGAATTGACACCAATTTGGGACACATTTTAGCCTGGAATAACTCCAGAAGAAGAACTTACTAGCTAAGCCTTGCTGGAATTTATGGATAAGAGCAACATGAAGAAAATTAGAAGCAAGACCAGAGTTATTCTGCAAGAGGGAAGATGGTAAAAAAATTCAAGACCATATCAGAAACCAAATAACTTCATTAAAACATAGAACTACAAAGGAAGTCTCCACTGTGTATTAGATATTCATCATACCTACCCTGTTCCCCAAGTATCTGTATTTACTTTAAGCTCAGACATCTGTGCATCCACTGTGAAGTCTTTCTATGCAATGTAGAAATTTATTCTAGATTTGATCATGCATAATTAAGTAATGGTGACCTATACTTCAGAAGATTATCAATGCTGATATTGTCATAAATAACTGATAACCTGACAAATAATACAGTATAAACTTAATTAGTGCACAGCACTATATGCCTCAGGAAGAGTGTTTCAAAGACCCTGTTTTCCTAACCCTGATTGATGATTCCTTTTGAGCTTAATAAATGCTCAAAGCTGGGATCAAAAATTGTGTCTTTGCTAATGTCTTGAATTTATTGAATTATTTTGCAGAGTATTGTAACTACTCTAAAGGAATTATTGGCTATGGGATTGCTGCTTTTTGAGTGGGTTTTTGGGTGTTTCTTTCATCTCAATGACATTTTTCATCTAGGCCACATGACAAAACTTTTTTTGAGAAATGAACTAATCAATTAAAGTACTTCATATAACAGCAATTCAAACAAATTGAGGGATTTTGGCAATGGAGACAATATACATGCTCAGGAGGGACCTGTAAATAAAGGGAAAGTAAAGGTGAGGCATGCAAGGAAATTAAAATCTAAGTAATAAGACAAAATAAAGCAAAGTATCAAAACACTCAGACATAAAACCTATCTAGAGAATACCTTGTTTTCCAGATTGCAGTGGTGATATTTTGTATTTTCTTGTCTTCCAGTCTCAGAAGTGACTATATTTAATGCAAGTTTTTGTTCTATTAATTTAAAATATGTAAAACTATGAGGTTTCATTTTGAGTTAAATGGATCTATCAATTTTTTTTCTGCCTAGGGCCCTCTTCTGCACCTATTGCAATTACAAATAAAATTTCTAAATACCAAATCTTGGTATGGGATTGGGACTTGGGAAAAGAGTACTAAATAAGGTGGCTTGAATACAATTTGAGAGTTAGTATTTTTAGCAAGTCATCTATAATGGGAAAAGGGAGAAAAGCTTCAGTGTAAGAAGAGGCACAAAATTAAGCAGGACAAAACCAATTTATCTTGTGTTTGTTTGTTGCCTTGGAAGTTTCCCCCTTCCTTCTTAAAAACACTCCAAAGAGTGGATCTTATGATCTTTACTGTGAATGATTCCAAAAGTGCATTTGGTTTTGTGGAGTAAAAAGTACTGAACTTCTCATGGCATTATTAGGTCTGCAACATGTAACTATTATTTGTATAATAGCCTTCAATTATGATTTGACTAATATGTAACTAGTATTTGAATAATATGGATATTGACTATTTTTATAAGCAATTAAAAAGCGTTTTCTGGTAGATCAAGAGAAATTTTATTTAAAACATTTTGCTCATGTGAGCAGAACAGATTTGTAAGAATGATGTTATCCCCTACACCAACCCTCCCCAACTGCTTGAAAAACAGTTTCTGTTCTAGAGAAAGTATAATACATTATTTTGGCCATTAAGTGAAAAGGTTATTTTTTTTTTTTCTTTTCCTCAGACTTGTGATAAAACAGGCTGAAGATTCTGAAAAGTCCATGGGGAAAAGAATATTTTTTCTCACCTTGTAATCCACTCTACATTCTAAAAGGCTTCTGGGTCCACTTCTATTAATTTACTTACAGTAAATTTTTCCTGTTCTCAGTCTTTGATACCTCATGTATAAGCAGAACATATGTATGCAAAAGTTAAGTAGTGGTTTGTTAGTTCTTTTATGCAGGCAGAATGTTCATCTTAATGAATGATAATCCAGCACTCAAATATGAACAAATAAAATGTTAATATGTCTGTCAAAAGTTCAGCTCAAGATATAAATGAAAAAAAAAGTAATTTGCAAGAACTTTTAAAAAATAGTACAAAATTTTTAGTTTCAGTGCCAGACAGTATATGTCAGCTTTCCTTTTTAAACCTTTCTGTTATGGTTATTACTTGGTTGTGAAGATTGACTGAAGCTGAGTTAGTTTTGAAGAGTTTAATTGGGAAAAGATAATGCTTCTTCCTGGATGAATTTTCAGGAGAGAAACCCAAAGGAACAAACAACCCACATGGCTGAGATCAACATTTATTTTTACAGCCACAAAGTTTTGAAAATATTAAATATTTGAGTTTTGTATTACTCTCTTAGATACAATGAGAAGTGAAGAATTTTTTTTTCATTTTCTTTCAGTAATAATGCACCTATTAATGCATTTTAGAGGTCATAATTTTTCACTTTTTCATACTTGTGTAAATCAAACAGGAAGGCTGCACAGCTCAAAACTGAGCATAATAGCCATGCCTTGCTCTTGGAACACCAAGTAGTCATGAAAGTGTAATCTCTCCCTGAAGTGATGCAAGATGGCTAAAATGAGTGTAATGGCTCTTCTGTTTCACTGTTTTTCTGGACTAGCATGGGATTCTGAAGCATTTTATATTTTAACAGGCCATCCAACAAACTGAATAACATCTAAGCAATGCACAAGGACTATATAAAAAGGAAAATGGACAGCAAGGGCAGCAAGTTAAGCCTCATTCACTGGAGATGGATATCATTATCACCAAATGTTGGTTGTTTAGAGAAGCACCTACATTTTGGGAAGCAGCCTTGCCTCCTGGAGTAGCTTGTGGGGAGAAAAAGACCCTAGAAATGCAGTTTCTCATGCCTGTTTTATATACCCACATCAGGAAATAATGAATGGCACTAAGACATACCTATTTCTCTTTAGTGCCAGGGGAATCTGGGCCACTAGTTCAGATGTCAGCTCCTACTCTGTTAATGTCTGAAGTTACCTCTCATATTTTTAGCTTAGATTCACTTCTATGTGGGATTTCCTTTTTCCTGGATAGGTTTCTGCAATTGTCTTAAGTCACAAGGATACAATCTAAGCAATATTAAAGTAACTTCCAAGCTTTATGGAAGCTCATTTAAAGTTGGAAGAAAAGTTAGATGAGGAACTATAGCTGGTCTTTGTGTATTATATTAGCTATACTTCCTAAATCAAGATGTTTGGTGGGAAGTATGAAAATGATGCATTTTCTGTTGTCCCAGTGAGATATTTGCCTTTTTTGAAAAACTCCCTAACCTGAGCCTACTGCCCACGGCCTTACAGGCAGAAGTTGAGCTGAGCGCTGAAAACACAGCTCCATAGGAGCTCTTTCTGAGCTTTCAGTGTGTAGGAAATGCCTGGGTTGTTCCTAACCCTGCAGTTTCTGCTTGCAGAGGGCCTGAGGCAATAGGTAGGAAGGAGTCAGAGCCACACCTCAGCTGATCTGTACAAATGTGACACCAGTTCAGTCCTTCCACCTTGGGAAGTTCAAGGTGCCTGCTCAGTTCCCCTTCTCTGAAACATGTCATGTTCCTTCTGGATCAGTCACATTTTCACACATTGTTCTACAGCATTTCTGTGCTCCCCAGTGTTATGTATCCCACTAGATGAAGAATTCTACACAGGCAGGCTTCTAAATAATTTTTTTTCCACATAATATCTTTCCTCTATCTCCACCTCCCCACAAAAGGTACAGAATTTCAGAGTTTTCCTTACATGAGTTCAACTTATCATGCTTTCTAAATTCATTCATGTTCCATGATTAGCAGAAGCTAATTTGCTCACTGGGTTTTCATTTCTTGCCTGGGTGTGCCTGTGTTTTCCCAGGCGCAGTTATGCAAGTGGCAGAGCAGATTAATGATGGACAAGGGCATGGTTACTCTATGTTAAGCAACAGCTAGCTGTATGTTATTTGTCAAGATTCCTGTTAAGACATGTAGCTCAGCTTTCATTTTTAAAAGATATGGATGCATTTGGTAGTGATAGCATAGGTTACTGTCAATCAACAACTTTAAATCAAAAAATGTATTATTCAAACCCCCACTTCAATCAATATTGATTTTTTTTTACTCTTTTCACTGAAATTGAACAGAGTCCAAATTCCATACAAACTTGATTTTACTGTATTTCTAGTAATTTTAAGTAACAAAACTGCTAATAAAGCATCTCCACATTTTTGATACATCTAAGTAATCTGAGATATTCCTCATATTGCAAAAATTATTTCCTTCCAATTTTAAATCTTATTTTAAAAACAGTGGATTTAGAAAAAGTACACCATTCCCAAGGTTTTATTCTACCAAATGAACCTCTACATAAATTCACTTAAATCACAGCTTCCTCCTGAAGCTAATGAGAACTGAGGGTATTTTGAGTCTTAGATGAGCAATGGCATTAATAAGAAAAGCAGTAGCTGCTAAGATAGATATCTGCTATGGGTGAAGACCAAGAAATTTGTATAGAAAATTTACTTGACTCTGGCACTTTAACCAGAGACTCTAAATCAACTTTTCACATTTATGGGAGTTTTTTTTGGCATTTGTTTTGGGAGTGTGTTATAGAATGGAGCCTTCTAAGATTTTGCCTAGTTCCTGCAATATGAAAACTTAACTTGGCTGATGATGAAGATAATAGGTCAAAATGATATGACTGCAACAACTGCAGATGCTCCAGCAAGAGTAAACACATTAGGACAGACAATGTTTCTGCAGTGCAAGCCCCAACAGGAATGTGTGTCTGACTCAGAGGAAAGGCAACATGTTCACTGCAAAGTTCGGAGGACTATGGAGTGCATCTTGGCAGATAAAAGTTATTCATGGGCAAAGAGTTATTAATCCCTGTCAGCTTCACTGGTGGTGGAAGCCCCAGAAAGGATCTTTCAGGTTCAGCCAAACTCTCCAAGCCGGGTGTCAGGTAAGAATAAATTGTGATCTCATACCACATGTAATTAATGAATCTAAAGCATAAAAAAGCTCTGAATGATAAAGATCAATTATACACAGACTTTCCAGCTGGGCAAGCTCCACTCCCTATGTTTGGTGGGGAAAGAGGCATTTTTCTCCCCTGTGAGACTGGATTGACTATTCATGCCTACAAAATTAGCATGATGTCCAAAGAAGACGGGCCTTCAGAAAGGTGAAAGTGAGAAAAAATCAACTTTTGCTCATGAACTCTACTTTTGCTATGGTTCATAAAGACAAAAAAACTTTGTCTACTAAGGGCTCACTGATATGTAGCTGGCAGGAGCCCATCACAGGGTTGCTGGTTAGGGGGAGACAACTACAAGGGGTTGTTTTTGTAGTTTGTTGGATCTTGGGTATTTCCTATTACTCCTCCTGTGGAAATATACTTTAAGGGAAACTTTACACTGTCAAAGATTGTTTGGAAGAGAAGAGAGGACAGACGCCCTATCTCATATATATACTTCTTCTTGAGTAGCTCTAACTAGATGGCAGTTCCCAGAGGCCTTTGTTTCCCCATTTCTT